GATTATATCAAAGGAACAGTGCCGTAACCCCCTCTCCAGATTTTTCCTAAGTGTTTTTATAATAATTCTTAAAAGAATGAATTGATCAAATTCTTGAATATTCATGATATGAACATCCTTAAAAGACATGACTTGATTATTAACGCTCGCGTTGCCGCTGCATATTAATTCAAATGCGTAAAAATGTTATATCAATGTACCGTTTACTCTGATTTCATTGTAAATTCCACATAGCTGGTGTAGATGATGTGCTGTCATCTAAAATGTTTCTGCATTTTGTGAAATTATGATTAAAATTACAGTGTACTTGTACATCTATGTCATCTTTTAAATCTTGAATATTTCGAATATAAACTGTTTGACGACATCGTATAAACGATATTACATTGAAAATGAAGCTTTAGCTATAAAAATGCCTAATTTTGGTCATTTATCTAAACAAAAATGCTTTGAATTAAAATAGCACAAAAATAGGATAACGAGAAGTCATACTGATTTTGTTTTTTAAAAACTTGATACTTTGAAATGTCTATTTAGGTTGTTTACGGCATAAAAAAAAAACAAGATTATCAAAATTTTTAGTGTCCTTGGCTAGTATGGCACTGGACATAATAGTCAATAGCTTAAGGTATGTCACTTATGAAATTTATTAAATCAAGAATTTTTTGAGAAGTATATTTTTGATAAGTACTCATATCGTGTAACTCAATATCGCAGAGAAAATAGGAGGTCAGTGTGCATCTTACTGAGCTATCATGATAAAATTAAGTTGACCCTTTTGCACTTAAATTTTAACTCTTTGGTTAATTACTATAAATTGAACCTTTATTTTATTTTATGTTATCAGATGTAATCATGGCAAGAAATATAGTCTTATTTTACGTAAAATTGTTTGAATAATGATTATCATTGAAAAGAAAAATCTTGCAAATTAATGCGCGTAAATTTTTGTGTGACTTTTTGCACTGAAAATGATATGTTCTGGGGTATCAAAAACTAAAGAGGCAATTTCTCATATCAAACTTTTTACGACTTAAGTGCTGATCAGTCACAAGTATTGAGTAGTTTAAGATAATGAAAGGATAAGTTGGGGTCAGTGATGTTAATTTTGATTAATATTTGTTAAAATTGTGTAAATTTTATCATGACTTCCTTCATATATCTTCATATTTTGGCAAACTTTGTTGAGGGAAGGTGTGCAACTTGTTCTAAAAATATAAACTGAGACCTATATTAAATATTCCTAGCAATATCCTAACGGAAAAGTATCCTCCGAGTAGAAGTATGTGAGGCTTAAGTTCCACGATGTTAACTTTAATAAATGTGCAGATTTGCAGAATTACCTGCTAAATATCCCTCCACCAAAAAATAGACCCTCATAGACCTGGCTTTTTGTAGATTTTATAGCATTTTTTTTCGTTGAATATTTAAAAAATGACATTGTTGAATTTTAATATGTCATATAAATTGAATTTTTGCAAATAGTTTTGATGTAAGAGGTTCTGCGTGATATGAAAGTTTCTATGAAAGTTGAAGAATAACACACTTTAATACCATTTCCAAATAGTAAACAAAAATAAAAATTCGAAATTGATGTTGGTCTTTTGGAGGTGCTTTCAATTTCAGTCCATCGTAGGTACTTGTCCAATGAAATTGATAAAACATTTTGTTTTGATGACGCAGAAGTTGATTGATACAATGCACTTACAGTACAGGCCACGAGTTTTCCGCAACGCTCGGTGGAAAAAACACCGTGTGAAACGCTCTGTGTTACACCGTGTACACGGTGTAGCACGGTGTATGTGGATTTGAAATTTACAGGTAGGCACACCGTGCCGCACCGTGCCTAGAAAAATTTCAGCTAGTGTCCTCCGTGTCGCACCTTGTCCAGTAAATTTCCCTCCAAGCTGCACCGTGTAAATAGTATTACAGACAACATCGTTTGTTTCTCATGAAAATTTGATAATAAATTTTGATGACAACTTTGGTTTACGAGTGTGTATATAAAATAATCGTTTTTATTCTACCAGATATTGGACTTCAAATGGCACGCATGATATTGAGATTAGATTTCGGTAAAAAAAAAATTGAATGATTTTCATTTGAATTAACTGTGTGTCTAGAAATTTATGTTAGTAAAATTATTCATCCACGTTACAAATTAAATCAAATTAAATCAAAATTATGAATTTTATTTTGAATGAATAATTTAATCTCATGTGTTCATGTAACAAAGGAAAACGAAATGGCGTCGAGCTGCATTCGTGTCACATGCACAGTATAATACAGTATAAAATTAAATCAGAGCTGTATCTATGTTCATGGTTTTAACATGTACAGCACTAGTGTACGATCCAAGCATTATTATGTATATTCCTTATCAAAATACATTTATTTTGATCATCTTGAATTATTCTGAATGTGAATGCGAAAATCGTTAAGAGAAACACGAAATTAATGCAATAATTTCAAAGCGTATTTCTAATAACAGCAAACATTATTTTCATAGAGTAGTATTCACTATGTTGTGTTTTTAAAATCCTTTCAGTGTAAGTAGTTATTTCAATAAGTTTTTCTTTTCTTGTAAAGTGTATAAAGAGCAACACCAGAGAGAGAGAGAGAGAGAAAGAGGGATAGACTCATACAACCCCCTTTTAACATATAGTCTGTATTTTTTTTTTGATTCTTCGTTTTATTTAAGTTAAGGAGGTCACAATTAATCATTCTATAATTCTATTTAATTGCCACAACTTTTGTTCATATTCAACCAATTTAATGCAATTAATTCGTTCTTTGTATATACTGAGCTGTACGCACAAAATTCTCGTGCATCACCTTCCAATCAAAATACCATGACGCTAGGTGACCTTGAAAGTCTGTTTACGCGGAAAGAATTTCTCTTGTGATTTGAAACAATCTTATGGTCAGTTCCGAGGTCACACCTGTTCAAAAAATATATTGGGTCTCTGCCGGTGGGCCAGGGGCGCCGTATGTTTATCACACCTTTCAAATTCTTTAGCTCTGACCACAGCAAGTGTATAACATGTAACACACTCAACTGATGTCATGCAAAATTCACCTTCCAGGTTTCACTACAACAACAATTATAAACTTACAATTATTTGTTGACTTATTTATCCTTTTTCAGACACAAATTAGAATGTATCCCGTAGATTAAGATTTAAAAAAAACATAACATAAATTTGCAGACGTCTGATAAAATTTTAACCAGCTGATTCGTATCGCTTTCTAGAAGGAGGGGGGGGCATTTTAAAAAATCGCTAAATATCTATGTTTTCTCAAACCGTTTTTTCTTTTTTTCACACGATATATTTCAGAATGAAGTAATATTCGTACTGAAGTTAGCACATTTCATTTGCCAAAAATTCGGCTGTGATTTTTGTATGCAGCGTGTTTACTAATAAAGTTTATCACTATTTTAATTAATGAAATTATTCAGATTATCATCTCTGCCTGTTCAGTAGATTTTCGAGTTTACCGCATTCAATATTTATCTCCATATTTTACATAATTACAGATTTTTAGTGTTAGTCTAAAAATAATCCTCATCTGAACCTGCCCAATGATTCGCCGAGTATCGGTATCGGTATCAAAGAGCAGAATTAATGTGCTAGTCTGATACGTATTTTTTAAAAATAATCTAGACACAGTACATGCACATTTAAATTCTTACAAAATAATTAATTCACTTAGTATAATCTTGCATCTGATATGTAATACGAAGGGAAAAAACGATCTTGTATCAACGATTTAATTGAACACAGTTAAAATCAAAATCGAAAGTAGAGACAATAATTAAGTAATTCATTTATGAAAGTGTGTTTCCTCTTAGTGTAATATAATAAAAGTCTATTGAACTTTTTATGACTAATATAATTAGGATTTAACTTGAAAAGTGATTGTATATTTTTTTTGCTGGACACGAGTGCGTTGTTATTAAGTTTTCAGGCATCTTATTAGTTTAATTATCTGTATGCGATAAATTACCAATATATGTATTAATTTATAGAAAAAGTACAACAAATATTTCGAAAGAAAGTTGATTTAAATTTATTAAATAAGGGCAATGAGAATGTTTAAAATATTTATCATCAGAACTGTGACACACCGTGTTACACGGTGCACAGACACGCTGACTTCAAAGACGCCGACAAGGTTCGAGCTCCACGCTAAAGCGTGGACTTGCGGTCCACGGGACCCCGTGTTTTTTGCGGAAAACTCGTGGCCTGTACTGTATTTCTCTTTGCATATCATTTCCAGCCTCTGTAAGACACTGTTTTCAATATATGTGTGTTTTTTTTTACATTTGTTATTTTTCAAGCATTGAATGTCGCTGAATACTATTTGTTATATATATGCATCAGTAAACAACCAAATAATATTTACAGTGAGATTTTTTTGTTTTATATCGAAATTTTTTTCAAACAGGTTATGAAATGCTTATCGTTTTTCATCATTCGTTTACTTTTTGTTATTTTCATTATTATTTGGATTTATACGTGCTTCTAAACTTGAAAGTTTAGGCGCTCTTTTCTTTGATTTTTTATAATGTGCTTTGAAATTATGCCGTGTGATGTAACACGCAGAAACTTTAAATTTTACAAAATGTTGAATATAACCTTGAATTAATATTGATATGGAACAAGTGCTCGTTAGCAATATCTTCTTTGAAAAACATATTTTGCATCCTAACACTGATAAGAATATTGCAAAAAGTGTCTTGTATTTTTTTTTTTCCGAATGAAAAATACTTTTAAAAGTGATAATGAAAAGAAAACGCCATTCACTGTGGAAGGCTACTAAATACTTATTATGTTTTTCTTGAGAGGGAAGATACGAGATACAAATGTCATGCTCTTACGTTTGAATGCATTAATTAAAATGATTGATTACTTAACCCTTTTTCCCTGTTTTTCCTCTTAGCAATGAAAAATTCTAGACGACATGTGCATGGTACGTGTACATGTATATTAGAGATATCCAAACACAACATATAAATTCTGAATTTTAGCAGATGTTTAAAATGTTCTAATTCCCTGAATGATTGAATTTTACAAGCGATTATAGAAAAATGAGGGGTGTGTTTTTGATATACCTGCTTTTGTGTATTTGTGAGACTTTTGAACATAAGACATTACCTGAAAATGACAAGACGGCCGTGTTACCAAGTACAACCACCAGCAAACAATTAAAAATTATACGGGATATCTTAAATCAAGAAAGTTTATCGCGATTCTCTAAGATACAGAAACTTGAGACCTTGGTGATGGATGCAATTGATAGCAAAAACTTTAGCCAGGCCCTTGAGAAAAGGCTTAGCGAAGTTGTAAATGAATTGTCTGATTTGAAAATAAACGATGACATACGTATTACAGGAAGAGAACACAAAGCTCAAAGAAAAGATAAAAGATCTATATTTAATACTCAGTAATAATACAACCGTCGAAAGTGCAAACGTTCAACGCCTTAATGACTTGGAAATCTTATATCTGAAGAGGAAAACTTCATTTGTGGAAAATGAAATTCAAACGCTATCATTACATAATTTGTATATAAATAAACGGTTAGTATTTTTGATGAAGAGAGATCTGAACTCTCTTAAAAATGAAACAATCGGTCTAAATGAGAAATATGACAAAATGCTGCAAGAGAACTTTGCTTTTCAAAATCAAAGTATAATGAATGGAAGAAAATCCGTCCGTGTATTCGAGCGTCTTTTGTCGATGGAAAACGGTTGCGGACTCTTGTGGCATCTTTTAATAAAACAATGGAAAATTATCATCAAAAGGCAACAGATGTTAAAGGTAAGTTAGTAACTTGTGTCTTCTTACTTTGTCAAATAAGCCATTCACTTGTTATTTCATCTTTACGTTCAAATTTATTGTTTCGTATATCTTGCATGTAACTCCTATTGTAAAAGGCAATCATTATACCCCCGCTTGAAAAGTTGGAGGGTATATAGTAATCGTTATGTCCGTCCGTCTGTTAGGCTTTGGGGTACCAATCTCTTATCCGCAACTCCTCTAATACTACTGAGTGAAATTTAATGAAACTTTCACAGAATCTTTATTACATATTGGTTTTGTGCACCTCTTATTTTACTTTTTTTTTTTAATTCGACACGTATTTTAGGTTTCCCATAGCAAAACATGGACATTGCCATTATATTCTTTCCTATGACGTCAAATATGGATGATTCTGAATAACATTTGATACGACGAGTTTTTTGTTCCTCTTTTCACATTACCGTAAAACAATATATAGCAAAACTCGGACATTACAGGAGGCGGGGGGTATTATTTAGTGAGCTCATTGCTTAAAGTACCTCCAGTTTATTATTGGTATTGTGCGAGAGTCTGCTTTACGTAATTTTGTTTATCATTGTTTATTTTAAAATAATTCTGCCTAAATTTTGATAAAGCGAATTGCGATCTTAAATGATAAGAGACAAAACTCGATCAGGATCATTTTAAAGCGTTACGTTTTCTTTTGTAATGCATTATTTTTCTTTTCTCTTCCTCTTTGCTTAATTACTAACTTTCAGTGTTTGAAGAATTTTTGAATAAATTACTGAATTGTTATTTATATTTACATGTCTAACAGCGAAAGATTTCCGTGTTACAAATTGTGAAAAGGGTTGGATCCAGTTTGAGGAAAACTGCTACCTTTTTGTAAGGATGGAATACAATTTTAAAGATGCGATGGTAGGTGAATCCACAGAGAGAAAATATGCACTTGATAGAGTATTGAATTTTCAATAACTTTTTAATGTTACAGAAAAATCTCATCATTTTTAGGGGTTTCAATTTAATTTTGTGATGTATTTTTACAGGACTATTGTAACAAAGCTGCAGCTGGTGCTCACATCCTTGAAATAAAAAGTTCACGTGCAGAAAACTGGATTAATCTACAGCTTACAATACGAGGTAAATTTTCCTAAAAAGAATTTTTATATCAGGTAGATAAAAATATTTCAGTGATTTTTAAGTTTTTATTTTTAGGTTTTCAATATGCGTGGATTGGATTGACAGATATACTCAATGAAGGTAGCTTTGTCCTTATCTCAACTGGACTTAAACCGGAATACAAGAACTGGCACAGAAACGAACCCAACAATGGTGGGAATGTTGAGCATTGTGCTGAGAAGTGGAGTACAGGGCTGAAATGGAACGATAAACGCTGTGACACCAGACGTCCCTTTGTTTGTGAGCTGGGTCTTTAAAACACTACCTTCTACCTTACCAATAAGTTTTCTATTGATGTGTGTTCTATACGCAAAAGGACAAATGCGAAGCATAAAAATTCATAGCATTAGTAGCATATATTAAACTGTACATATATTCCAGCTGATAAAATCGCAATCAATATTACTGTAGAAAATGACCTACCTTTATATTTGTAGGATAAGCCTTTCAAATATTGTCTTAATTAAACAAATGAACAGATGAATGTTTTTTGTTTTTTTTTTTCAAATACTATACGAGGGTGTTTTGGAAAATTCGTAGGCTAGAATCGTATAATTAAATCCGCTTACATGAATTTTTCAACGTTCAATTTACATCATCGTTTTTATTTATTTAATAAATTATACATCCGTTCCTTAGGTGGTGTTTTTAAAATAAATTGTTGATATTTTGATTTGACAGCAACGACATGTCCAGGCGGCGCAACCTCAAAGATTGCACTTTTCTACTTAAGTGTGCCTCAGAAAAAAACTTTTTTTACACGAGTATTTGTCATCCGAAATTCCGTTGAATGAGTCATGTAGTACATTGTATGCCAAAATTGTACCATAAAAATTACAATTTTTAACCCCGTTTGGTACGTTCTTTGAAATTTCATCGTAAATTTTATATGAAATGTCCAATAAAGCAATAAAGGGGCTGTAATTATGTCAGAAGGGGATGGATTTCTTTTCCAATATTCTATAAGGTTTCACCCCTGAAAAACTGGCATAGATCTAGGAAATATTTAAATGGGCTACTGAAAAATTAAAAGCATTCAGAGTACTTATTTTTTTTCTATGTCAAAAAGATTAGAGATAAAAAAAATGTCAAATTTAATGTCGATTTCTAGTAAGGGTGTTCAGACTTTGTCCATACCTGCCTACCCTTCCGCTTTTGGCGTAATTCTTCCGCTTTTTACCACAAAATTACGCTATTACGCCATTTATATTAATTTTACGCTTTTGATATTTTGGTTTAAAATCCATTATGAACGTCTAAATTTAAAGTCATATGTACGACCTGCTAAAATCAAATAAGAAGTTAAGTAAAAGCAGTTAATAGAGGACCAGTTCGAAAACATACGTAATACATGTATACCTAGTAGTTATATGTAAACTGGTATGGCGAAGATTCGGAAGAGCAATAGAAGGCACTACTTACGTTAACTATTAAATCATATTGCAATAAGTACAGCCATTTCTATGCTCAATTTAGTTTATTTTAAGATTGCTTAAAACAAGATAGAGATATGTGAGTGTTTTAAATATGAAATACAATGTTATTATGTACGATGTGTGTAAACATGCAAACGCAAGCCTTCAATTAATTGATTTGATACAAATTGACCAAATACTTCAATAAGGGTGTGCGGTTGATTTGTGTTTAATATAGAAAATTGGTATTTTAAAACACTTTTTTTGCCAATAGATGATTCGAAAAAGTTTATGCCAGCTTTTTAGTAATGTACAATTTCAGTTGTTTTTAAAAATATAGTATCATACTAAAACGTGATTGATTACGCTTTTATCTCTAAAATTACACCAACAATTTACCGAAATTACACCCTTGCAATGAAAAGGGTAGGCAGGTCTGTTTGTCACGTCGAAAATGGACGTCGATCATGTGTGATGGATGTTCAACAAGCAAATATGTTGTTTTAATCAAATTAGGATCTTACATCACAATGTATAGATCTATTTACAATATTATATGCACTGAAATCAGCAGTTCATAATTTAATTAATTCCAATGAATCTAACTAAGTGTATGAGGTTGAAAATGCAGACATCGAAGGTTGAAAATGCGGACATCGATAAACAATGACGCCAACAAACTAAATGACGACAGCGCAGGGTGATCATGTAATGTCTTTTTAATTTATGGATAAAATTATTAATATACCAGTTATTAAACTTAAAATTTCAACATTTTTAAAAATATTTTTTTTTATCATAGACATCATAGTGTTAATTTCATCGTATCAGTTCTCGAACTTTCAGAACAACCCTCGTATATTCTAATTAAATATAAAAACGCATTATTCAAAAATTTCCTAAACAAGGAGTACTTTTTGGACATTTTATCGACTTTGCCAACAGCTTCCAATTTATATTAAGAAGTAAAAGAAAAGTTTTAAATATCTTAGGAGAAATGTGTATATTCTGCAACTTTGGAAAGAATAAAGATGAAGTACAGAAGTACATGTAATTATTTTTTTTTCTTCTTTATTTTATGGATGGTACATGTAAATGTTGGCAGCGCATTTGAAATAGAAAGTTATTTCTTCTTTTTTTAAAGATTCAATGGAAGGAAATATCTTGCTTTACATTTTCATTTTCATTAAAAGGTGATTTGGTATAATCCACTGAAACATAATACAGACACCAATGTGATAACACACCTTGAAGAAAAAAAACGCACTTTAAAACGTTCAAGTTGCATTACAATTGGGAAAGAATCAAGGCACTTTGAAAAAAATAAAGTGTGTTTAAGTTGGTACAAAATCAACAAATTGTGAAAAAAAAATCAATGTAAGATTAGAGTGTTTATCCCATGTTTAACCCTTTATCCCGTTGATATAGCTCATGTGATATCGTTTTCGTATCACACAGTCGTGACGTCACAATGGGTTTTGCGTAAGAGTGATGAAGTAAAATGAAGAAGAGTCCTATATAAAAACAGTGTTAAACATTATTTTTGGTGTAAAAAGCATGGGATAAAAAGAATCTCACATGATTTGTAGTTAGATATGATTTTTATCCAACTCGTTGTGTGTTTTTATCCCCTCGCCAAGGCTCGGGGATAAAAACCACACGACTCGTTTGATAAAAATCATATCCAACTACAAATCATGTGAGATCCTATACATATCAGCATTTTATTTTTTACAATGGAGATAATTAAGACATTTTGAAAAAGGTACGTGTAAAATACAAATAGCTCTATCTCTAGTTTAGTAACAGACAACATCATTTTGTTATACTTCTTTCTAAAACTAATGAATTGATCTACCCTTATCAAGAACGAGGAGTTAACATATACATTCAGAAGGTCCCTCAGCTCAACTTTATCATTTCTATCCAAATATATGTATTTACGTATGTATGAAATCAATTACGTTACATACATAGAAGTAATTTGAAATAGCATTCGTTTATATGAGTTTTTGAGAAATTATAATGGATTGCGTTAAACATTTCAGTTGAGAGAGTAATGTGGCTTAGGGTTATTTTTATTGATATAAAAAAAAACGAGTCAGCCTTATTTTTAATATCTATTCACAATAATAAGAAAGACAAATAGTATAGATTGATAGATGAATAGATTAGAAAGAGAGAGGAAGTAAGATAGAAGAGTCATGGTTTGAAAAAATTATAATTGCTTTCCTCCCTGAAAGTTATATAAGAGTTAAATTTTTTTTGCTTCAAACTTAAACTTCAAGCACTTTTACGGAGAGGAAAGATAAAAATACACATATTGATACGAATCTATTTGGTTGGCAAAGATACCTGCACATACATTTAGGCATCTCTTTTAATTGTGACATGGGATAGAACTTATGATTTTAATAAGAAATGAAAATTTTACGAACTTAATATACAGAAAGCGCAACCATCTGATTTGAATGACGTCAAGATGAACATAGCAAACAGATATTAATCTCGTAAACCATTGAACAAAAAAGCCCTGGATAGAGCAAAAACAGGGACACCTTCAAACAGGAGACGTAGAATCAGGTGTTTCGGAGGAGTAGACATCCCCTACAGAGCAGCCACACCCATTGCGAGCTCTAGGTGTTGATCGGGTATACGGTATACTCCTCAGTCATAAAGTTGAACAAGCAAAGACTACAAAGAAACATATGGAAATAACAAACAGTATTCAAGATCAAAAATCCATAAAACAATACAAAAGAAGGGCAGAGCAAACCCGGATCTATTGAATATCAGAGGTGTGATCAGGTGCCAAAGAGAAGTGAGCATTCTTGCATATTATAATCCTCAATACGAATATAAATACTCGTATATTACTTATTTTTTTAAGTTATTTTGCTAGTTATCCTAATTGTGTTTTTTTTTATTTCAAAAGTACTGCTAGCGCTTTGATTTTTAAGCGCTGTATTTGTGGATTTTTTTTTTACAAAGTGTGTTTTGAAAAACTGTTGTTAAATGAAACGTGCAGAAAGTCATAAGGCTTCCTTAACCTTAAATAATTATATGCTTGATTTAATGATGATATGTAGTACGCTCTAACCAGAGATAAAATCTTTGAAAAATATACGTTTTTTGCAACTTACAGACCCTGAGACGTGCTACTACCCCAAAAAAGCGTGTAACTTCCGTGCGCTTTCCGTTTCGTGCAAACCGTGTAGCGTTTCGTGTAAACCGTGCAGCGTTTCGTGCAAACCGTGTAGCGTTTCGTGTAAACCGTGCAGCGTTTCGTGTAAGCTCCAAAGCGTTTCGTGCAAACCGTGTAGCGAGCGTGCGAGAAACGTGTGAGAAACGTGCGACTTTCGTGTAAGAACCGTGTGAGAAACGTGTGACTTTCGTGCAAGAACCGTGCAAGATTCATTCGGAAGTCATTTCATTTTAAATATGGCTATCGATGGGTTAGGATGTCAAATTGTATTAGTATTTTATAATTGAATTAGTTATGCTTGTGATATTTAAAGAGTAAAAACAAAAACATGGAACAACAAAATGAAATAACACGGTAATGTATAAAGTATATATTTGTTTGTTTTCTTTTTCTTCTAAAGAAAATGTGTTCAAATTAATCAACTATATACAATAATTTAAAGGGCATTGAATTCCATACACTATCAACGCGATCATGCCTTCTTAAAAAAATTTTTTTTTCTCAAAAAAAGAAAGAAATACCGGTATTATTTTTTTTATTTAAAGCAAAAATATATCGGAAATCGCCCCTTGTCTTTACATTTTAAGTACGCAAAAGAAAGTTTTGAAATAATGTATCATTTAATACCATTTAATACATAAAATTTGTTGCTCATTATTGTCAAATCAATGGATTATAATTTGAATTTACATGCACTGACGAGCGCATGTTTAGAAACGGAGGAGGGGGGGGGGGGTAAATTTAATTACTAGTTCAGTCTTTCATTTCTTGTAACTTTCAATCTAATGTTAGTTTAAATAAATGCTTATTTCATATTCTTTTTTAAAAATCTTTTGTTAAATGAGTGCGCAGATAAATCTCTTAAAAATATATTGGAATCTTCTTTCCGCCTTTGAACTGTGATCAAGGTAATTTACAACAGCGATCACGGGCTCCGAGTGCATGGCAACTGAAAACCTGTTCGGATATATGTACATGTTGAGTTCACTTACTGACACCTGAAAATTATGACTTTTTTATTTCTTTGAAAGAAAATAGTTCTATAAATATTTAATTGATACAACTTATATATAAGCGGATTTCATCTTTTATTTGTAAATCCGAATTTTTAGCCGTAAACAGTAAAAATAAACAGAACTGATTTGATAGTCTTTTCATGAATATCATGTAAGAAAAGTTCAAGAGTAAATCATGAATATTTGTATATTATTTGTTTTATAAATCACGTACTTTTTATTTCATCTAAGATATTTCAGTTTTCTTGTAATATACCTGAAAGCCGGTGTAAAGATCGATCTACATTGTATGTACAATGTATAGTTAAATGCCGCGAGTTTTAATTACTGTACACATATATACATACGTCTAGTCGGGTTTTGAAATGAAGGATTTTACAGTATGATGAGTATACCGATCTTATTTGATAAGCCTCATGTAAAAAGAGAAAGATAATAAAAATAGATTAAGACATCACATTTACCCCCCCCCCCACACCTTTACTGGTTTCCCTGCTATAGATAATGCTTATAGGTAAGATTAAAAAAAAATCTTTAAAAATGTATCAATTATCGTTAGAAGAGTATATAGGAATATTTTATTACTAAATCAAAATCAAGAAAAATAATCCGCCTACGGAAATCAAGCACAATATAATCAATACTACATGTATTTAAAATCAATGAGTTCATATTCCTTCAGTAAGAAATCGATTTTTTGTATAATTTATTAAACTATTTAAATGCAAGAAAAATGAATGAATGACTAATATAGAAAAATTGTATTTTATCAAACAGCATTCATGATATCGGCATTTCGTTTTTTAACATTTGGATAAATAAATAAATACGAAATGGCAATTATTTATTAATTAATTACAACTGTAAGAGTATTTAATATTTCTATCTGTTTATATGAGACAAGTGTTCTGATATTAAATTTAACAACTGCTAAATGTGGCTTTGTGAAAGATTTCCATATACTCGGTAATTAATGATAAAACCGCAATACTGTTTGAGATATTCCGAGTAGAAAATCCAAACCGAGGCCAAAACGTGCGAGAATCGTGTACAAAGCGTGTGAGAAACGTGTACAAAGCGTTTCGTGCAGCCTTTCGTGTAAACCGTGCAGCCTTTCGTGCAAAGCGTTTCGTGTAAACCGTGTAGCGTTTCGTGCAAACCGTGTAGCGTTTCGTGTAAACCGTGCAGCGTTTCGTGCAAACCGTGTAGCGTTCGTGTACCGTTCGTGCAGCGAGCGTGTGGGGTAGTAGCACGTCTCAGGGTCTGTAGATATGATAAGAAAATGAGAAAACAAAATAACTTCTTCTATTCTAATGAAAAATAATATTGAAGTTTAAAAATATCATCTTGATATCATTGGAGAAGATAAACATAATTAGATTTATCTTGAACTAGAAGGATGCGAGACGTTTTATATTAACCTTATTATACTAATTTACTAAAGTTGATAAGGGTTGATAAAACTTCGCTTACTGGTATATGTAATCAAGGGACAAAAAGCTCTTAAGACTACTAGTGCTCGGTTTGTTAAAGAATTACCTTAATTTAATTTTGTATATAAAATGATTTCAGCAGATGCGTTTTATTCATTTTAATATTCCTTAAAAGAGAGGAGAGCAATGAGGGCTACGTTTGTTTTATATTTACTTCTCTGTATTTATAAGACGTTTGGAGGGGAGGACAACATGGTGGAAAAATCATCCTCGTTGCCAAGTACGACCTCTGGCAAACAATTAAAAATTATACGGGATATTTTAAATCAAGAAAGTTTGGCGCGATTCACTATGATACAAAAAATCCAGACCTTGGTCATAGACGCACTTGATAGCAAAAACCTTAGCCTGGCTCTTGAAAAAAGACTTAGTGATGTTGTGAAGGAATTAGGTGACTTGAAGATAAACGACGACATATTACAGGAAGAAAATATAAGACTCAAAGAAAAGATAAAGGATCTTTATTTAATGCTCAGTAATTATACAACCATCGAAAGTGCAAACGTCCAAAGCCTAAATGATTCGGAAATTCTATGTCTAAAGAGGAAAAATTTATTTCTGGAAAATGAATTTCAAACGCTTTCGTTACAGAACTTGGATATGAATAAACAGTTAGTATTCTTAATGAAGAAAGATCTGAACTCTCTTAAAAATGAAACATTCGCTCTTAATCAGAAATATGATATACTGCTGCAAGAGAACTATGCTTTTCAAAATCAAAGTTTGATGAATGGAAGAAAATACACCCGTGTAATTGAGCGTCTTTTGTCGATGGAAAACGGTTTGCAGAGTCTTTTGATGTCTTGGAATAAATCAGTAGAAAATAATCATCAAAAAGCCACAGATGTCAAAGGTAAGTTAATTATTTTTCAGCAAATCCTTTGGCAAATGTGTGACTTCAATGTTATTCCAATCGAGTGTTCAAATTCATTGTTTCACAGGTACATGTACTTACATGTAGTAACTGAACTATTGTAAAAGGCAATTATTTAATAATGATAGTGCTGGAGATGCTTATTTAAGTAATTCTGTTTACAGAAAATAGAATAAATTCTTTCCAAAAGTTTAAAGTGAATTTGCTTAGATGATAAGTGTGTAAACTTAAGATAATTCAAAGCTATATCAATAAGGCCAGCCAGCTGCCAAACTTGTAACATTAAAATACAGAATTATATTTAATTTAATCCTACGTGAAAAACAGCGAGATACGAGGATATGCAATGGATAAGAATATTTTTTTCTCTATTATTCTAAGCTCTTTAATTTTCTAAAAGTTGATTGTATGATAAAGTATATAACAGCTAACAGTCTGGTGTAACTATTTATAGATTCTAAAAAACATACTTGCATAAAGTTTAAAAAAAAAATGGAAATTATCTTCTACAAAATAGCAAAAGTTCTTACTTTACTTATAGCTTATGTTTACTTATTGTTTTAAAAAAAGGAATTAAAGTTAACTTTTTCTTTTATTAAATTGATGATTTGTAATATGGTCGGATGTAACAGTACCTTGAATAAAAATCTACTTTAAAGTCAAATATACATGTATTTCATTTCTTTTAAAAAATTATAATAAAAAAAAATAATAAAACATGCAATAATAGTCTTTTAAATTATTACATTGCCTAATTTTAATTTGATGGAAACAAATTATGGATTAATATCGTGTTTTTATATCTATAAGTTTGTTTTAAAAATATGTCAGAGAAAATTGTGTCTTTAGCTTGTTCATATTATTTTCAATGTTAAAAAATAATATAACCAATGTAGCCCTTTCATTTTGTCAATCCATAAATATATCGACACTCCATTAAAGCATATTGATCAAGCACGACCTCATGAATTGGCTACATGGTGACCAAGTCTTCCAACAATCTATTGGAACTTTTATGGGAACCGATTGCCTCCCGTTATTAAAGACCATTTTAAATTTGTATTGATATAAAGCAGATTTTTTTTTTCAAAATCTTATACGGATATAACGAATTACGGATAAAGCGTAGTCATTTCATAGAAACTAGTGACTTCGTTATAACCTTGTTTTACTGTATGTAAAAAAACACTTGGCCTTGAACTTGACATTTAGATATTTTCATTGTCAATGATTAAAGGTAATTTGCATTCTTATTTAGAAATATGTTGGTGAATTTGAGATAAAATTACCATAGAGATAGACACATCTTGTTCATGTTACGATATCTTTACTTAAAAAAAGTTAATGGTAATATAACAACCAAGTTCTATGAAAAACGAGATGACTTTAACTTTTCAATCATCAACTTCCCTATTTATACATGCTCTACGCATAAAAAAATTTTAAAACAAGGTAAATTATTGACAAAAAAGTTGATGAAACAAAAACATCAGCAGTCTCAATTCATCAAGTTTTATTGTCGATACAATGACCTTGTTAGCAATTACAATTTGTCATTGAGTCAACTGCTGACTGACGTTTTTCATACTAATTGTTAATCCATTATTTATAATCTGTATTGTCGCCCGCAAGGCACAGTGGTTAGAGAGTCTGCTCTAGAGTCGCGAAATATAGAATATCACACTGCTGTTTTGATCTCGGCCCTGGTATCAACCCGAGCGGTTGGTATCGGAGTACATTTAATTATACATAGGTCCCTGAACAACTTTCATAATTACTAATCTTTTTCCTTTTTTTTTTCTCACAAGAACAGTATTTTAGGGTTACTTTAATACCAATCATAGATTTACCTGTTCCAAGTTAATTGTAAAAATGTACTTGGCGTAAACGTTGTCATTCAACGACATTAGTCGACTGTTTGTAGCAAGAACCACTGTGCACTTAAATAACAATATTCATATAAATCATAGGTACACAAAGGTCTATTCTAATAGTTTATCAAGCGATTTTGAAAAAAAGTACCTTGTCGCTAGTGACGTCCAATTATAACCGTAATTTTTCCAACAAGCAAAGATTCAGTAGATAGTGATTTAAATTTCCCTCCCTATTTTCTGCTTGGTCTTGAAACAAATTTTTCATAGGATATGTTATGAAAAGAAATATACTATAGAAAATTTCCTGCTCACTGCATGTTTCACTCATTAAAGTGTTTATATCCTTTAACCTTTACAATCTACACCACGTGTCTTGAATTTAGATCACAGTAACATTAGTAGGGTTGTTAAGAACATGTAACACAGGGTCAAAAGAGGAGGATGTAAAAATCATGCCCATGTTGTGGATATTTTACTTTATATCTTGCCTGCTATTTACAAGTTCTCAGTATATCTATTCAAATAAAAATGTTGACTGTAAAAGTGATGAAAAATACAAAGAGTTGTTGGGAGAAATTCAAACGCTTCGAAGACAGCAGATAAAGCTTCAGCGTGAATTAAATGAACAACGTCAAGACAACAAGGAAATCAGGGATTTACTAGTCAGCCGTAACTTAACAAGTAAGTACTATACAAGTACTTACATCTCAGTATTATTTTAGGACTACGATAACTTTCTTTCTGGTAATCTGAAGTGACAGAATTATTCGCAATTTGCTTTTAAATATTCGATTGGCCAATAGTATTCTAAAGTGGCCTTACGATTTAAATTGTAATGTTGACAAACGCACAGTACAGTTAAGGTGCGCAATGGAAATATTGACTAAATTGTATTCGTAATCGAGATGGCGATTTTTTTAGTACATTATTTATATCGGATAAATGTAATTATGATTAACAACTACATATCGAGTACGATTATATTTTATATTAAGACTAGTCACGTGATGCGGCAGTCACGCGATTTTAGCACATTGACTTGAAGTATTGATGTTACATATAAATATCACTAGTGCAAGGGCATAACGAAGTTAAATTTCCAAGTTTAGTATATAAATATTTTCAACATGCATTGTGGTTTCTAAAAAGTGCTGCGATCCTGTCTAAGTTCTGCAATTTCATTGTTAAAATTATACTTGTATGAGCGAATGCTATATTTTTTGCTGGTCAACGGCATGAAGTATTGATATAATTAAATTGTTTTTAAGATTTCATCAGGATCGACTTTTCAGATACCTTATAATTAATGGTTCTATATTTGAAATATAAAAGCTTACTTTGATCCATAGAGTGTATGCCCTTGCACTAGATCGATTTATTGAGAACCTCCACATTATCCTCCAATGTACTAGCATACAAATATACGACAGTGTCAATTAAATACGTAATGTACAGAAAATATATTAATAAAGTAGTGAAGAAGACATTAAATTCAAGTTATTGGACCATAGAATATCTGTAAATAATATTTTATTTAGTTAGAGAATACATATTATGTTGAGAAAATATTACTTGATTCGTCTCTCACTGCATACAAATAACGTCACGTTGTAAAAAATGACGTCATATTGACAAGTGTATTGCGATCAGTGACTTGTTTATAACTTGTAATGTGGGATTTAACTAACGACAAAACAACACGCTGTAGTAAGTTTTTATATAGTTTGATGATTTCTTACTGGTTAAATTAGCAGATAAACTCATTTTGTAGTATTTTAAAGAAATGTTGTATGACGTATATTGTGTATGATATCATAGTTAAGTTTTCCCGTACAAATTAGGCTCCGCCTCCTTTTTGTAACCTTAAATTTTAAAAATCCTTTAAGGATGACGTTTACTCAGGTTTTAGAAAACAGAAAGGAAATTTTATAAAGTATAATATTTTAAATCAAAGATTGTTCTGAATGGATAAAATAAGCAAGTTGTTAATCAAAATAAATTTGAAAATTTGATATTTTATTATTTAAAGAAAATATACAGGAACAAAATCAATGTATGGTAATTCAGTGGAAATCCGGACTAAATTATTAATTTTTCATTTTTGTCAATTTTATTATTTCTTGCAATATAAATCACAAATTAAAGGTTACATGTATTTTTAAACTTCATTTTGCAAATAATATACATGTTAAAGCTCATAGATTATTTTAAATAATTGAATGCTGTGAAATAAAGAAATTCAAAAATATGTACAAAATTCATTCGAGACAACATATCTCAATAATTTTATCATTGACCCCATATAATATGAATACCAAAAGAATAAGGGCAACAAAATTAATCTGAGGCTATCAATAGTTCAGAGATCTTATCAGTAACTCCAATCCTTTCTTTATATGAATTATCGCTGTTCCAATGCTATACTATTTCATTATTTAAAGAGTTTAGTTGCTTGTAATGTTTTCATTTTTGTGTGTGTAGAAAAAAAGGTCATAGTGTGAAAAATTGAGGTATTTCCCGAGAAATACTTAGGGGTCACTAGCATGAAAACACAAGATGAAACACACCCTTTAAGTCCGGTTTAATGGTGGCTTATAGGTCCTTAATGGTGGATTAATGGTTGTCTTTAAGTCACCATTAAGCACCTTTAAGTAACATTTACACCACCATTAAGTTACCATTAAGCCATCTTAAAGTCCTTAATGGGTGCTTAAATGTAGCTTAATGGTACATGTAGTGTAGCTTAATGGTGGCTTACAGGTCCTTAATGGTAGCTTTTAGACCACCATTAAGTCACCATTAAGCTACCATTAAGGAGGACTTACAGGTGCTTAATATCCAAACTCCATTAAGCTACCATTAAGCTACCATTAAGCCACCATTAAGCCACTATTAAGCCACCATTAAGCTACATTAAGCAGTCGATAATATTGTTTATATGGTTGAAAAATTATTTTTATAGTGATTTGTTATCAATATTATAAATATAGAGTTCGCACATACCTTTATTTGTTAAAAATAATTAAAAATAACGAAATTCAAAATTCAAAAAAAAAAAAAAAAAACACCACAGACGGGGTGCGAACCCACGACCTTAGGATTACATAGCAGACCCCTTATCCATTAGGCCATCGCCGCTCTTGATTAGAAGTGAAAATATTAAATATTTAAACTCTGTTTTTTACAAAAATTGTTTGGACTTGTGAAAGTATTTATTAGAATTTTGTTGAACGTTTCCAAAAATCTTGAATTGATTTATTAATCAAAATATAAACAATTTTATTTGTGGATCTTTTTGAAAGGCTTATATCACATTAATATTTCTAAACCATTGATTTCGGCTTTTAGATTGATGTAATGTGATTGAGTTCGTCGCTCTGTTATTCGAAAATTAATACATGTAAGCATTAAATCATGATTGAAAATAAATTAATTATAGATAAAACACAAAACAAGAAAGACGAAAAAAAAACAGATTCTACTATATTTTTTTAATATACTGCGGATATTAACGGTTTCTATGTCAAGAATTTAGTGAAAATCCTCGCGTAAGATTTACCTGGTTAATTACGCTTACAAAAACTTTTTTTAGAATATCATATTCAGTTTCAATTCTTTTTGTATCATAATGGGTATCAAAATAATTGACTTTTTACGATGAATCATAATTTTTAATTTGTTATATGCTTGCGTTAAATTTAATTTTTTTTAAAATAATTGATCATCAAAATCTGTCAGTGTACGTTATGTGTATAGTTTCCTGTTAGTTAACCGGGGACGAGGGGACACCTAATTAAGGTCTATTGTCTGACCAGTCGGTTTAATGTACACTGATCATCTGTTAATCTTACCCCGTTTCTCAATGTGTATACATCTGGTCAGATGTGATGTTTAGTCTGATCGGCTGTTCTTCTGAAAATCGTTTTTGAAATAACAATTATTGAAGACCGACTAGAGGATTTTGACAGATACTTACCGCTGTATTATTAAAAAAAAGATAACGAATTAATTAAAATTATTCATGATGTAAAAGCCATTTAAAAGTTTTTATGGTAAAAATCAATTTTTGAAAACTAAACATTTGTATACCAGTAGCCCCCCCCCCCCCCCCCAAGAAAAAAAAATAAGACAGAGATTTTTTTTTCATGAAATGATTTGACTTAAAGTTATATTCCTGTGAATTCTGTAGCGGAATGTTTCTTTTAACACATGAAATAAAAATTATACCATTTTGGTTTTAAAAAGTAATATATAGTCTGTGTTCATGGATAAAGATAATTTTAAGAACAAATTGATTTTTGGTATTGAAAATTTAAGATATTTCACAAGGACTTGCTCCCGGTGTGTAATAAATATTTATTTTTTTAAATCATATACACTAAAAATAAAAACAACGCATAATAATTTTTTTTTAAAATAATATACGGTTCTGATAAAGCATGTCTTGTTTTATTATCACTGTAAATGATTTTTTAAAAAAATAAGACACCTCGAGCAAGCCCTGTGGCTATTAGCTAACTTTGTTCTCAGTGATCAAGTTTATGCATGTTGACAAAAAAAAATCGTAGAAATTATGATCGAGACAAAATTATGAGTTGGAATAGATTTTGCGTAAATGATATAAATATAAATAACAGTTAGTTTAAAGATTCTATATAAGATGCGTAAAAGTTTAATAAGGTTTGACCATTAAGTCACCATTAAGCTCAGCTTAATGGTGGCTTAATGGTAGCTTAATGAAGTTTGGCCATTAAGCACCTGTAAGTTGCAGCTTAATGGTGGCTTAATGGTGGCTTAAAGGAATTAACTTCTTTAAGCCACCATTAAGTCACCATTAAGCGATTGCTTAAAGGTGGTCTTTCGTCTTGTGAAAGTAGGTCATTGACCTAGTTATTTGAAATTGAAATTTAACACAATAATCATAGATCTACAATGTGCAGTTATATGTAGTTTTTTGTTCTTATCAGTGGAATATTTGGTCATCTTGAGTAAAGGTATACCTTAATGAACATTTTTTTTTTCAAAAAAGTTGAGAACTCTTCAGTGCCTATATTTTTCTGAGATGGCATATTGTGCTCCCTAATATGTTTTACGTTTTCATTGTTTGGGCGAGAGCAGTCTTATACTTAGTTTACAGTTGAGTCGTTGATCTGCCTCTTCAGACGTCAAACTTCACGAGACACAGTCTGGACTTTGGCGTCACATGTCATCGGCATTTACGACAGGCGAACGTCGATTTGATGGTTTTGTGCAATATTTTAGTTAAATGAAAAACTATGTAGAGAAGATGAAAATATTTTTGTTATTTTAAAATTTTGTGAAAATACAAGAAAGTAAACGTATCTTCGTAAAAAAAAACAATTATTCTTGGTCTTCTGTACGAGTTCTGATCGGAAATTATTGACACATTGTTTATATTTCTCTCTCTAATGAACGTCTTTCGGTGAAGATTCGCATATACCTTTGACATACAGCAGGACGTCATAAAGCAAAAAATATTTTACAAGTATCAAATTTCTCATCTTCAGTAGTAGTTTATAAATGTGTCTATGGCAGGGTTAACCAAAGCAGTCACGAAATCAGAAATCATTATCTTTAAATATTGAATTTAACGAATTTGAATTAACTGAGTTTGATTCTAAAAGGTATCTTCCAAGATTTTATATATATATATATATATATATATATATATATATATATATATATATATATATATATATATATATATATATATATATATATATATATATATAACGAATATTCGAGTACTCAACTATCATTCGATCATACCGACTACCGGCTATCGACTAAAATTTCTTTAGTTCGGTTATTCGCTATCAATGGGTTTCATCAAAGTAATATTGAATTCAAGGCAATCAACTTAGATTTGCCCATTTTATTTACAGATCAATATTTTTGTATGTACATTTAAGGGTATTGTTTAACTGTTAAAAGGAAATAATTGTACGTAGATGTATGCTTGGCAAAGACGTCTTCAAAATCTACAGTTGTGGTATAGTTGAAAAAAGAAACAGTGTTAACAAGGTTATGTGAAGGAGATTTTGTATTTTGTCGAGTAACATCTAACATGATGTATCATGTGCTGAATCAGTCAAACATATACACAATCTTCAAGTGAAATATTCTGAAAGTATAAGTTCTCCGCAAAAATACCAAAAACAGAGTGGGAAAGAAAATTAAACATGATTATTATTGAATGTCTTCCTCCTATTGCTTTTTTCAAAGGTAGAGGGCAATTGTTTAGTTTTGTAGATTCAAACTCCGATCTGACGTGATACAAATATTCAAAAAGAATATCTATTAAACAGCATATTATTACAAAATTGTAACTACATGTAAATTGGGGTCAGTTATGAGCGCAATCATACCGTATTTCCATTTGCTGATATTATTTTCGTACAATCATCGATTGTTTTTACAAAATTTTATAATTAAAGTTCATTTTAAGCTTTTATTCTCTCTTTGTTTTTATAAGAGACACACTTTAATTGTTTACCAGTCAAAGATCATTGACAGACAAGTAGAAATGACTTCAATTATGGGACATGTACCGTTACATATAGTGACCGTTTTGTAAAGAAACGACAAATGCAAAGAAAGGACAAATGCGAGTGTTTGATATCCTGCATTTATATAAAATGTGCAGCTACTACATTAATTTTGAAATTAAATACATTGGAAACATTGGAAAGTTTTTATTGTACTACGCAAATGTTTACAAATCAGAAATTTGTTGTAAAATACATGTAGTGATAGCGTAGGTTAAATATTGTAAACTAATCTGTAAAAGACAAACAGTGAAAATGACTTGAAAAATAAATTAATATTAACGAATATTCGACTATAGTTCGACTATAGCATCCGACTATTCGACTAAGCTCTCCGAATAAAATTGACATCCCTTATTGAAAGTTAGGCTTTATTGGATTCTCTTTTGGGAATTTCACGGTTTGCATCATAGTTTTACTTGTTATTTTTAGTTCACCAGAGCCGAAGGCTCAAGTGAGCTTTTCTGAGCACATTTTGTCCGTCGTCCGTCTGTCTGTCCGTCCGACTGTAAACTTTTCACATTTTCGACTTTTTCTCAAGAACCTCTGGGCCAATATTGACCAAACTTGGTACAAAGCATCCTGAGGTGAAAGGGAAATTAAAGTTGTTAAAATGAAGGGCCAAGTCCCCTCACAAGGGGAGATAAATAAGAAAAGATAAAAATAGGGTTGGGTGATTAACAAATCTTCTTCTCAAGAACCACTGGGCCAGAAAAGCTGAAACTTATGTGGAAACATTGTAGGGGAGTGTCGTTTCTAAATTGAACAAATCATGACCCCGGGGGGTTGGGTAGGACCACAATGGGGAATCAATGTTTTAAATAGAAATATATAGGACAAATCTTTGAAAATCTTTTTCTCAAAAACCACTGGGCCAGAAAAACTGAAACTTATGTGAAAGCATCCTGGGGTAGTGTAGATTCTAAATTGTTCAAATCTTGACTCCAGGGGTTGGGCGGGGCCAGAGTGGGGAATCAAAGTTTTGCATAGAAATATATAGGAAAAATATTTGAAAATCTTCTTCTTAAGAACCATTGGGCCAGAAAAGCTGAAACTTATGTGGAAGCATCCTTGGGTAGTGTGGATTCTATATTATTCAAATCATGACCCCCGGGGGTAAGGCGTGGCCACAATGGGGAATCAGATTTTTTCAATTTGGAATCAAAGCATCCTATGGCAGTGTAGATTTCAAATCGTCTAAATTATGATCAGTGGGGTAGGGTGGGGCCACAATATGTATTGCAAGGGGAAAATGTGGTAAAGAATTGAGTGGTCAATGCTTCTCAGGTGAGCGATGTGGCCCATGGGCTTCTTGTTTAAATGATGTCTTGAGTTTTTATTTTATTTTTAAAAGGTGGTAAAATGCCATTTGATTGCTCGGACATTTACAAAAATGGCGAAAGGAAAACTGGAATTTACAAAATATACCCATCTGATGAAATCAACAAAGGTGTTTCCGCGTTCTGCTATATGTACCCCCAATTAGGAGGCCAGACGGTAAAATTCAATATAAATAATATCTTACATAACAATACAAAAATGTGATATATATCATCAAACAAAAATAAAAAAAAATGGCGTTTTCTTTTCTTAATTTTTATTTAAAGGATTTAAAATGCTTATCCAGCATATCTATACATTAAGTTTTTTTTTTTTTTTTTTTTTTTTTTTTTTTAGATTATCTTTCATGTACATGTATTATGGACTTTTATGCAGCAAATTTTAAACCATAAAGAAACTTGGGAAAAAAGTTCTTATAGAATATTCAATAACTAATATCAGCTTTCAATTCTTAAACCAGAACTTAACAGAGTTAGATGTCTTCAAGATCCATGAGGTTAAGTTTTTGTATGGTATTCCTCCTTGAGATTAATCAGGATTATATCTAATGTGTTAACATATTTTAAATTCACTGAGGTTGCTCAGGCTCTTTTGAGGGTTTTTCCTGAATGTGCATGTGCATTTCGTGTCAGTGATATTTCTCAGAATCTGAATATTTATATTCAATAATTCTCTTTCACAACAAATGACTCAATTTATTTACAGCAGGTGTGGCACGATAAAGATCCCTCCCTGCTCAAGGGCCGTAAGCGCTGAGCATAGGTATAAATTTGCAGCCCTTCACCAGCAATGGTGACGTCTCCATATCAGTGAAATATTCTGAAGAGGGACTTTAACAGTATACAATCAATCAATATATTTATAAAAACCACGGAACCACGGTGCCAATATCAAAATAGTGATCTCTTGTATAATTTGTTTTAAAAAAGACTTTTGATAATGTAACCAATACTTTAAATAAATAAATATAGTGTTTACGTATATTGTTCTAATATATTTATATACATTGAAGAAAACATGTCATAAAATACAGCTTTTGATTTCATCACTGTGCAAAAACATTGTGATCGATGTTTGGACAAACCCTGCATTCCAGAGTATCAAATTCCTCTTTGATGTCCCCTCCTGACAAAAAGTGATATATTACGTACATTAAAATGTGGTATATGTATCCCGTACATTTCCTTTTATAAATTGTCATTGAAACAGGTTATACAGAAGAGATTTGGTATGTATTACTCAAACTTCAACAGAACATGGGATGACTTTAAGCGAGGATTTGGGTACGTTGGAGGGGATTATTGGCTAGGTAAGTGAAGAACCCCGCTAAACTAATGCCTACAAATAAGTAGTAGTAAAATGTAATTAAGTTATTTAGTGCCTTAACGATTCAAAGCACTAACATTTTCTCTTTCTAGAGTTGTCAAAATGAATAATATGCAAATATGTTCTCATGATAGTCATTATTCATTCAAAATACTGCGTTTTCATGTGATCTTCTACAAAAATATCTAGGTAAAAGAAAAAAAATGTTTTATGTATGATGTGCTCAGTAGTTTTGAGTTTAAAAATAATAAGATAAGAGGGTAAATAAATGTTGAAACTTCAAGCATTAAGAGGTGAAAAACGCATTTTCTTTTATATGAACTAATAAATATAGAACCCAAACTAATATATATAGTATTATACACTGTATTTTGTCCTCAAAACATTTTAATATTATCAGCAGAAACATTTTAATATTTTAGTTTTTTAATGGTTCTTTTTTCTCTCTCTATGTATTTTATCTATTTTTACCTTATGACAGCTACAAAATCGAAAATACAATATGCCATATTAGTTTTTTTTCTATATCCGGTATCAGCACTAGGCTATAAATAATACCCTTCTCATTCGTTAATCTTGAGTACACACATGGAACACATTTGTAATATGTAGTTTGCTTTAAGTGCGTTTGCCTTTGTTGTATCGAAATTGCATGTATATGTGTAATGGACTTTTCTTTTGCTTCTCTAATTATTGGATAATATCGTGACCAAGTTTAAAATGATAAATATAATACGTGTGCATAAATGATATGCTCAGAAAGACAATAATTCTCGAGCTGTGAAGAAGTTAAAGCTCGTAAGGAGACTTTCAAAATAATTCCAGATCAAAGAAATATGGCGGGGAAGGAAGAATCTGTTCCTTTTACATCTTAAAGAACAAACAAAAATATTGACAATTCTCTGATAAATAAATAATTTTTATTCGCGGTATTTTAAAGTATATGAAAAAAAACTGCCATAATGTCGAAAATAAAATAATTCAAAACTTAATCAAAACTTCCAGTTATAACGTCGTTTTAGTCAACGTGTAATTTGTTAACAAATCCTCAAAGTTTTTTTTTTTTTTTTTTTTTTATGGGGGGGGGTTCAAATAAAATTATTTAAACTATTTAAATTTGCATAGATGCTTCAGCGTCTTCGCATTAAAGATAATGTGCGCAATGGAAATGTCGACAAAATTTTAAACATGAAAAAATACGTAGAGCTTATTGCAAAAAGGCTAACAGATTGCGCTGTTTGTGACGTGCTAACGCTTTGCTTGTCGAGAAGTTTAAATACTACGTCACATTCTCGCCACATCAAAGGAAGTAGCCGAGATCGCTTCTCTCCCACGCTAAAGTCGGCCAGCTGCAATACACATCGCCGACGTTAAACGGTTTAAAAAGTGGGAGATGCAGCACAAATCTTAATAAACAGTTGAAAAAGAGCATTATTATGCATTTTTTAGAGTCCGCAATAAATTGAAGTTAATAATTTTATATTTTATAGCATTTGCCATTTATGTTCATGTATATGTCACAATTTATATTGTATTACATGTAACGCAAGCGAAAGGGAATAAATGGAGCTGTTAAGACGAGACGATTGTTCCTTGTTACAGTAGCTGCCTTGGGAAAATGAAATTACATGCACTGAATTGGTAAAGGGACGCCCAGGAGAGGGGCTGGTGAATTTTCTGTTTCAGATTATTTCTTTCATATCATAGTGTAAGTCAGGGAAGGATAACTTCTTTTCTTTTTTTCATCCGAAAAAAGTTTGACAAGCCAAGGAAAAATGGTAAACTCTATTTCGGGTGGGGTTAGTTCAAAATATATTTAATGCATTGAATTGGATTGAACAGCAGACTTAGATGCATATGATTGTTCCTTCAATAGCTCAAGGTACAATTACAAGTACATGTAATTTATGTAAACATTGAAAAAAAAATGTATGAGGAGTAGACTATCAATTGGTGCATATTTAGAATGAATTCAGAGAGAGAGGAGAGAGCTCATAGAGTAAAACAAATAAATAGAAAAAGAATAATATAACAAATGAATAGAAAAATAAAAATTATATGAATAAAAAAAAAGAAAAAAATCGGGTGGGGGGGGGGGAGGGGTGAGGGTTAGAAGTACGAGCCAAGGAAGATTATTTATTTTCTTGCTAGTCCATGTGGTCGAGGATAGATTTTTTTTTTCGAGAACGGCCAATTTATTATCAATATTTGCAGGAAGTGCATGTGTAGATAGACTTACGCTTTACATTCTGCCGTTCGGTGTTAATTGTACTGAGCATACAAAATTAATTAAAACATAACTAAATTGAACTTTAATCAATAAAATTTGAACGTTTCCCCCGGCCTTCACTCTTCACAATTTCTGACGAATTTATGCTTGGAGAGGGTCTTTATTTTTTCAGCAGTATTTTTTACTTAGTTGCAACAATATCAGAATGCATGGTTTAAAGCCATGCATTCTGATATTGTTGCAATCTAAGATTGATAAGCGTAACCAATAAATGCAATGATCAATGACTTATGCAACACTTGATTTTTATACATGTACGCAAATATGAAGAAGATAAAGTTTGCGATAGCATGTAATAATCGACCAATTTAAATATTCGTAATGGACTGAAAAAATCATAAAATGCTTTCATTGATTAATTCAAGTTTTAAAAGACATTTAACTATGCTGGTAATATTCAAGAACACAACATCTGGACTGTCTAGTCCACTTTTTGTTTTACCCAACAAACAAGCTGTATGTTGCAGCTGACCGACTTTAGCGTGGGAGAGACGCTATCTCGGCTACTTCCTTTGATGTGGTGACAATGTGACGTAGTATTTAAACCTCTCGACAAGCAAGGCGTTAGCACGTTACAAACAGCGCAATCCGTTAGCCTTTTTGCAATTAGCTATAGAATGCATTCGTAGTCAGGATGACGATTCATTTTGTTATTCAGTAAAATCGGACAAATGTAATATTGTTTTTAACTACAAATACTTTTTAACTCTTGATGTCCACGGAACTAAGGTCACCTTTCAATATCATTATTCAAGGGGCATTACCAAGTTAAACTTCGTTGCCACGCATGGTCACCGATTTTGATGAAACTTTACCCATGCTTAGTACTTGACACCAGAAACAAATATCAAACAAAATTTCGTTGCTATGTGTCTCGGTTGCTATGGCAACAGCCGGAAAAGTTTGAAAAATCGAGATTTTCAGCCACTTTAAATCTTGACTGTGGCTTAATAAAAACTACAAAAAGCAAACAAGTCATTCTCACAAAAACATGACACCTTGATGTCACTTATACTGTAAAGAAAATGTTAAGAATATATCTCTAAGTAAGTGGTAACCAAGGATACATTTGGAATACATTTAAAATGCTGAAATATGCTGAAAAACACTCCATATTTACTAATGGTAGGTGTTACATGCTCAAACTCAATCAACGACTTAAGAAAAACAATGAAAATGCTTGACCTTAAGTATATAAGTATAAGCAATATTAGTCTATAAATAACTTTTATGGTTGCCATGGTAACACAGTGTAACCATGCAAAACCAGTAACTAAGTTTGGGTTAATGCTACTGTCTTGAGGAAAAACATGAAAACTCAAGACTGTCAAATATGCATCCTTAGGACCTTACAACACCAAAAACCATAAGAAAAATTGGGTATAATTGCTACTTTGCAGTGTTACCATATAAACAAAGTACCAGTGCTGAAAAGTGAATTATTTTTCGCTGCATTAAGAATTAAATTGCCATATAACCAAGAAACAAATTAAAGGACTCAGCTTGAATCATACTTATCTGTTAGAACCAATATATATATTGATAAAATTTGATGAAGAAAACAACACTGTTGCTATGGTTACCAAGAAAGGAAAATGTTCGATTTTGTGAACTTTATATTAATATTAAACCCTGTGTGCCAACTTCTTGCATCCACTTAGAGATTGGATGATAGTCAAAATTAAAAGTCAGGTAAGCTGTTAATAAAAATCAATCATAAAAGTTTTGGGAATCTACATTTGAGGGTACGTATCCAAGGACAGAAAATATTTTTCAGGTTTTTAAGCATATATTTTCTGCTTATTTCCATAGCAACGCTCTATTTAAAGAATGTAAACTGAATTTTTTCAAATGGGGAAACTAGGAGCACACCAACATCTACAAAAATTGATCATCAGTTATGAGGAAATGTGCTTTTTTAAAAGATAGGATCAGATTGAAATATATAGAGTGTTACTTTGAAGGCTCTCTGTGGTATAAATACCTTGGCAACCATTGCCAACCAAAATGAAATATCATATTTTGTTCTTGGTATATGTTTCAAGGCTCTTTTTTCTATTATTTGGTCACATTTAATCCTATAATTGCTTTTTATTTTAATGTGTATGACTTTATAAAATTCAATGAATATTTCTTTTACTTTTGAATACTTTGTTACCATAGTAACGTATGTAATAGTTGATTTACCAAACATGTTTATCATGCATTTGAGACATCTGACCTTCAACTTTTGGAAACAGTCATTGCCAATTGTTTGCTTTGCCGCAAATGTTAACTATGGTGCTCTAAACATGCTAAAAAATGCCATTTTTCGAATTTTAAGACATGTTGCCATGGTAACTATAAAACATAGCAACCAATTTTTGCCTGATTTCAGTTTAGGGTATCAAAGACTTTTATCATAGAAAGTTTGGAGAAATTCTGAGACTATGCGTGCCACAGCTCCTATATAAAAGTTCAAGTCATTACAGAGAATGGCTCTTAAAATTCAAAGTGTAACTTTTTTAATATAATCAGCACCCATTAAAGTTTTTTGGAAGTGTTGCAGTCTTCCATTTCATTGTAAAAATCATTTTTGTAAGATGTTGATTTTTTTCTAAACCGGAAGCATTGGTTGAAGAAATACTTAAGAATGATGTGACATAGGTGCTATCTGGGGCCCCTATTTCCACGACGAATTATATTTAATCTACAACGATGTTGGTAGTTTTCAAACATGAGTGAAAAAAACGACGCCTTTTAAATAGTTTCAATAGTTCAGACTCATTTTATTTATGAGGAATACTGCATTATCTTTGATTTTTTAGACCCTATCACAGCTACATTCTGCCAGGTTTGTGCAAATAATTTCTTTTATGACAAGAAAATGGGCAAGTATTAGTACTATAGAGGGATATGCTTTGGGATATGACTTTCTATGGCTATTGTTATTATTTTGCACTTACATGTAGTCATTGTCCAATCCGATGACAGAACAACAAAACATGCTGGTTTACATTTTATCGCAGACACTTGGTAAAGATCAATTTACCTATTATCCTTTCCTACATTTCAAACTTTGATAATGGTCAGCCAGTGCTGTTTATTCTTCATAATACGCTTGGATTTTCAGCATTTACGGTATTTGGGACAAGAAATGTACATGGAACTCTGGATACTCTGGAATACGTGTAGACCTAGCGAATTGCTCACCAAACACGCTACAAAACTTTAAACTGATGTATATCATGTGTATTCTATCAATTGATTGTAACTGTATATAAATTTTACTGTGGTCTTGGAAATGGTATACATATGTAGATCCGTGTCTAATCTGTGACTCAAATGCATAAAAAATATCGGAAAGCAGTAAAATTCCAAGCATGTTTCCATAGTATTTTTGTGGTACTCACACGTAACGAATTTCATTTAGCTGATTGGTCAGTTAGAAAGTATCACATGTGCCTCGATTAGCATATGAATTCATTCTTACGTCAGAAAATCTAGTTCTGTCGATCTGTTTATAATGGGAAAGACCAACTAGATTTTACAATTTTTTTTAAAAATAGCATGTGAGTGCACTGAGGTACAATTTTCTCCTTTCACATATAGGTAGAATTCAATAAAATGCAGTGACCGGCCAAAGAAGAAAATTGTACCTATCTGCGCTCATATATTTTAAGGGCTTTTTTGGGGCGGGGTTAAAATGCAATGGGAATTGAATGTAAACATGATACCCCTACCCCAATAAAAGGTCTGTATCTTTCAAATCACGTTTCTATTTTTGTTAGAAATGGTATTTTATAAAGGTACACATATCAGTGATTAGTTACATACAAAAATCTGAGTAAAATTTAGACATTTAATTTTTTGTCAGTATACGAGGGGCCGCTAGTCACCTCATCCTTTATTTTTAGGATTTAACCAGGATTTCAGGATTTTTCAAACACCTCAATATTTCTAGATATTCTGTGTAAAAGCTTACTATTGGTCACTGATGTACTCCTTTGCACTAGATTGATTTATTTGAACCCTTGTATTAACCTCAAATAAAGACTACGGAATATTAACTGGCGAGATTGAAAATATACAACTTACATCATTTCTATCTGTTGCAATCATAATATCGATGACAGACGATGTAAAAATCGGCATGGACATCTGGGGAAAAATAAGTTTGAGTTAAATTTTAAAGTCGATTGTCAATCCTCCTTTTAGAAGCTATTTTCATATTAAACGTGTTAACGTAAGATCGAAAAGACAAATAATTTCACATTATCAAAATATATTTTAAAGTATATCTTTTTTCTCAATTGCAATCCAGTGTTTTTTATACACCCCGCTTGAAAAGTGGGAGGGTATATAGTAATCGGTATTTCCGTCCGTCCGTCTAGCTGTCCGTCCGTCTGTTAAGCTTTGGGGTACCCATCTCTTATCCGCAACTCCTCTTATACCACTGAGTGAAATTTAATGAAACTTTCACAAAATCTTTATTTCATATTGCCATTGTGCACCTCCTATTTTACTTTTTGATCCCACGCATACTTTGGGTTTCCTGGCCACAACAAAACATGGACTTTTCCATTAAAATCATATGGGAGGGGGGGATATCATTTAGTGAGCTCATTGCTCACAGTACCTCTAGTTATATGTAAACAATAAAAAGTAAAATGATATAAAATTATTCGTTTCAGTGGACAGTCATTGGATTCTAAAGGGGGTATTAATTTCCAGCCATATGCTCAAAGAACAGAATTCACTGTATATAAATTTCTAGGATGACAAGATTGTTTTTGTCTTCACTGAAAAAAGGTTGTTGTGGCAAAACACATTTTAAGGCTTACTATGAGAAATCAACGGAAAATAGACATGCAAAAACGGGTATTGTTTTTAAAACTGAATTTATTTTTTTTCAGCTGTTTTATTATCACATAACTTAAAATTTTATGGAAATAGCATAGTATAACCTATTCTGTACTGTATGAAGTTTGGTCCCATCGATGGACAGTCACGTGATGAATGCATATAGTACGTGTACTGAATGTAGGTCATTAACAAATTTCAATATCGCAATTTTCACATTTCATAGCTATCATCAAATGTTGTGAGGGAAAAGTAGTAAGCTAAATATTTCTAATTAATGTTTCTTGGACGTATACATGTACCTGCATACAGATATATAAGTGGGTCACTTATATAAGTATTGTACGGAAGATATATGAATAAAACCATACTGATAATGTATCGAAACTATGACCTTGTTCACACCGTCAAATAAAATTTCGTCTTATTATAAAACTATATTTATCATTATAAAAACATTATTTAATTTGCTTCTTACTGCGTACAAATTGAATAGTTTTAAAGAATGACGTCACATAGATAAGTGCATACGGATCATTGACTCGTTTATACCGTGCATTGTTTGATTTTTAAAGAAAAACCCAACCCTGTTTTGTTAGTTTTGATGTACATGCAGTTAATGCCCCTCCGATTTGTTTAAGGTCGCAGTGCATTTTAAATAATTGTATTCTTAAGAACTGTTAGTTTTATAGGTTGTCAAAGTTATTATTTAGCTCAGTTCCGCCCCTTTTTGTAGTCTAATCTGCTACGTTAAATACTGGGGATAATGACAATGAAAAAGCCTGGTGCTCGCTTTGATGAAAATGAATAAGATACGTGTACAAAAATATCTTTGTTAAAACATTTTTCTGCATTAGTGCATAGATTGGTTTTTAGCATTATTCTTTTTTCCCCGTTTAGGTAATGACGTCATTCATAAACTGACCACGACTTTTCCAAACGATTTATACATAAAAATAAAAGGATATTTTGATGTAAAGTACAGCTCGTTTTCTATCTCTGATGAAGCTAATGGCTACAGACTTTCCTTGGGAACAAAATCGGGGAATATCAGTAAGTAGTAATGTTAATCAAAACCCTTTAACCATGACACCTAATGCTTATGCATCATTGATATTCCATAAAAAAATCATTTATTTACAAATGTTATCATTAATACAAGTGTGTATTATTTTTGATACATGCACGAAGGATGTGTATTTTTTAAGGAATGACTGGAAAAAGAATGTGTACGACAACATTTTGATATGTCTGAGTTATTTCTAAGTTTAAACAATGTTTAAATTGAAAAAAGAAAGCAAGCAAATATATTTGATATTAATTAAGTCCTTACAAAACTTAAAAACTAGATGCTGTCATGACCAGGCTGAAGCTAGCAGCCAATAACAGCAGCCACTAAGCGCGTAGAAGCTAGCAGCCAATAAGGAAATTCATCAAAGAACTGAGAGTACTCAGACGCAGGACTGTTTTAATACGTTATTTTAGATCATTAATGGTTAATGATTAGAAAATTAATTCAACAATTAATTACATTATAAATCAGATACTCAGAGGCAGTAAGGCTCACCTGAACAATTTTTTTTCTTTTTTAAAACCAAAAAATAAGAAATAAATTACTTTATAATTTTTATCCAATTGAACAAACAAGCACTAGGAAATGTTTAACTCCTTCAGGAAAAATCCCTTTTCAACTCCTTCAGGGACCTCAAGATTATGACAGGGCCATTAAGCTAACCTGAAATTTGATTAATATATAACTATTGTAAACAGAAATATGACACAAGTGTAAGCTAGGTTGAAGTATGCTTCGAACATTATTACTGGGACAACTTAATGAATCTATAAGACTGTAAATTACCACTATCAGTAATAAGTGGTGGTGGTGCCACCAAGTGGTTCCGAAAGCATTTTTGATAGTACAGGCAGGTATTTTACCCATGATTTATAAAGTGATCAACATTACTAGGGCAATATAGAAGGGCACAAGGATTATTACTTCCTGCTATCAGAAGGGGCTTTAGTGGTACCACCAGGTGGTGCCAAAAGCATAGGTCATATTTCAAGCAATCATTCATCATCATCAGTTATTGGTGATTAAGTAAAGGGTGTTAGGGATATTCCCTTGTCAACGTTTCAAAAGGTCCCAGGGACCGGGAAGTGCCAGTTATCTACTCTGAACTTTGGCTGTTTTGCATTTTATCCCAAAAACGCCATTAATGATCAGCTATTATACGCCTTATCCTTGAAGTGTTCATCAAATGATTACTAGGGCAAGGTGGAGGGGCTCTAGGGCTATCATTTCCTACTTTCAGAATGGGGCTGTAGTGACACCACCAAGTGGTGCCAAGTGCGTGGGGCATATTTCTAGCATTCATATCTTATTCATTGTCGGCCTCCTGAACAAACTAACACTGGGAGTGGGTAGGGGGCCTTAGGGGGTATCCCTTGACAGATTTCTACAGGGTCCTAGGGGCTGGAAGGGTCCAGTTAGCTAACCTGAACTTTGATGTTTTTCATCATGGTACATTGTGAGACGGGAAAAGGGCAGTTATTATAGACGTATGCTAATCTGATGTCACCTATAACTTAAACATAATATGTCAAACTGAACGCGACATTTTTCGCAAATTTGTAAACAAAGCATAGACACGGCTGTTCTATTGTATCCTAGGCTTTAAATTATTAACTCGAGTGTAAACTAATCGAAATAATTTGTACATTGGGAAACGGGAAACGGGAAAAGGGCAGCTATTATACGCCTTATCCTTGAAGTGTTCATCAAATGATTACTAGGGCAAGGTAGAGGGGCCCCAGGGCTATCATTTGCAACTTTCAGAATGGGGCTGTAGTGGCACCACCAAGTGGTGCCAAGTGCGTGGGGCATATTTCCAGCATTCATATCTTATTCATTGTCGGCCTCCTGAACAAACTAACACTGGGAGTTGGTAGGGGGCCTTAGGGGGTATCCCTTGACAGATTTCTGCAGGGTCCTAGGGGCTAGAAGGGTCTAGTTAGCTAACCTGAACTTTGATGTTTTTCATCATTGTACATTGGGAAACGGGAAAAGGGCAGCTTTTATACGCCCTATCCTTGAAGTGTTCATCAAATGATTACTGGGGCAAGGTAGAGGGGCACTAGGGCTATCATTTTCCACTTTCAGAATGGGGCTGTAGTGGCACCACCAAGTGGTTCCAAGTGCATGAGGCATATTTCCAGCATTCATATCTTATTCATTGTCGGCCTCCTGAACAGACTAACACTGGGAGTGGGTAAGGGGTCTTAGGGGGTATCCCTTGACAGATTTCTGCAGGGTCCTAGGGGCTAGAAGGGTCCAGTTAGCTTACCTGAACTTTGATGTTTTTCATCATTGTACATTGTGAAACGGGAAAAGGGCAGTCATTATACGCCTTATCCTTGAAGTGTTCATTAAATGATTATTGGGGCAAGGTAGAGGGGCCCTAGGGCTATCATTTTCCACTTTCAGAATGGGGCTGTAAAGGCACCACCAACTGGTGCCAAGTGCGTGGGGCATATTTCAAGCATTCATTTGTGTACCATTATTTGACTCTGAACAAACTATCACTTGGAATGGGTTAAGGGTCTTAGGGGCTATCCCCTGACAAGAATTAAAGGGTCCCAGGGGATGAAAAGGGCCAGTTAGCTAACCTGAACTTTGATGTTTTCCATCATTGTATATTGTGAAACGGGAAAAGGGCAGCCATTATACGCCTTATCTTTGAAATGTTCATCAAATGATTACTGGGGCAAGGTAGATGGGCCCTAGGGCTATCATTTCCGACTTTCAGAATGGGGCTGTAGTGGCACCACGTGCCCTTGGTGGTGCCAAGTGTGTTGGGCATATTTCAAGCACTCATTTGTCTTCTATTATTGGACACCTGAACAAATTATCACTGGGGATGGGTTAAGGACCTGAAGGGGTATCCCCTGTCTAGGATTCAAGAGGTCCCAGGGGCTGAAAAGGGCCAGCAAACTAACCGGACTTTTGTATTACTTATGTTTTTCATTTCGTATTTGGAAACTGGAAAAGGGCAGCCATTAAACGCCTTATCTTTGAAGTGTTCATCAAATGATTACTAGGGCAAGGTGGAGGGGCTCTAGGGCTATCATTTCCTACTTTCAGAATGGGGCTGTAGTGGCACCTTTTGGTGGTGCCAAGTGCGTGGGGCATATTTCAAGCATTCATTTGTCTTCAATTATTTGACCCCTGAACAAATTATCAATGAGGATGGGTTAAGGGTCTTAAGGGGTATCCCCTGTCAAAGTTTCAAAGGGTCCCAGGGGCTCAAAAGGGGCCAGTTAGCAAACCTGAACTTTGATGTTTTTTCATGTTTGTATGTTTGGAAACTGGAATAGGGCAACCATTATACGCCTTATCTTTGAAGTGTTCATCAAATGAGTACTGGGGCAAGGTAGAGGGGCCCTAGGGCTATCATTTCCCACTTTCAGAATGGGGCTGTAGTGGCACCACTTGGTGGTTCCAAGTGTGTGGGGCATATTTCAAGCACTCATTTGTCTTCCATTATTGGACACCTGAACAAATTATCACTGGGGATGGGTTAAGGGTCTTAAGGGGTATCCCCTCTCAAAGTTTCAAAAGGTCCCAGGGGCTGAAAAGGGCCAGTTAGCAAAACTGAACTTTGATGTTTTTCATCATTGTACATTGGGAAACGGGAAAAGGGCAGTTATTAAACGCCTTGTCCTTGAAGTGTTCATCAATGATTATTGGGGCAAGGTAGAGGGGCCCTAGGGCTATCATTTGCCACTTTCAGAATAGGGCTGTAGTGGCACTACTTGGTGGTGCCAAGTGCGTGGGTCATATTTGCGGCATTCATATTTTATTCATTGTCGGCCTCCTGAACAAATTATCACTGGGGATGGGTAGGGGCCTTAGGGGGTATCCCTTGACAGAATGGTATAGACACGGCAGTTCAAAGTATAGACACGGCAGTTCTATTGTATCCTAGGCATTAAATTATTAACTCGATTGTTCAAAGTTTAAACCAATCCAAATAATTTGTTTTTTACAGAAAATCTGCAGTTTTATTATACATCAATCGTATTTTTCATATCTATTTAGTACGGATTACTGTCTTGTTCAACCAGGAAGTTGGAACGCGTGACGTAGTGTTTAGAATTTTTGCCTTTTAAGCAAAGAGTTGTGAGTTCGATACCTGCTAGGTGAATTTTATTTTTTTTTTTATTTATACCCCCGGAAACAAAGTTTTAGGGGTATATACAGAAAAGACCTTTTTTTGGGTACCACCAAATTTGACCTTGACCTTGAAGTTTGACCCACTTTTACACAAACATTTTGAACTTTTACTTTGGCCATATCTTTTGAATGTATATTAGAGGATATTTATACATCACGAATGTATTTTTTGTGGCAAGGCCTTTCATTGGATACCACAAACCTTGACTGTTTTACTTTGACCTTGGACATTTACGTACTTATGACAAAACTTTAAGCTTTGCTATTAATTTTGAACGGTAAGGGCTAGGGCTTCCATACTTCACATATGTAATCCATGTGAGAAGGCGCTTCATTTAATACCAATAACCTTGACCCTTTGACCTTGACCTTGGCTTTTGACCAATCTTAAATATACAACCTTGACCATGATTTTAAGGACTTCGATACTTCAAATATTTAATCCTTGTGACAAGAGCTTTCATTTAATATCATGAACCTCGACACTTTTATCTTGACCTTTGAGTTTGACTCTGTTTTACACAAAAATTCCAAACTTTTACTTTAACCCTAATTTTTAAACGGTAGATACTAGGAATTTCATATTTAAAATATCAATTCTTCTTGGCAAGACCATTCATTTGAAACCAACAATTTTGACCTTTTGACCTTGACCTTAGAGATTCCCGTACCTACAAAAAACTTTAACCTTGGTCATAACTTTTGAACGGTAAAGGCTAGAACTTTCATATTTCAAATGTGTAATCCTTTTGACAAGACTTTTCATTGGATATCAAGAACCTTTATCCTTTGACCTTGGAGTTTGACCTTATATTTACAA